TATTGACAAGCTGGAATGAGTCCAGAGGAGGGCGACTAAAATGATCAAGGGTCTGGAGAACAAGCCCTATGAGGAGCGGCTTAGGGAACTGGGCATGTTTAGCCTGAAGAAGAGAAGGCTGAGAGGAGATATGATAGCCATGTATAAATATGTGAGAGGAAGCCACAGGGAGGAGGGAGCAAGCTTGTTTTCTGCTTCCTTGGAGACTAGGACGCGGAACAATGGCTTCAAACTACAAGAGAGGAGATTCCACCTGAACATGAGGAAGAACTTCCTGACTGTGAGAGCCGTTCAGCAGTGGAACTCTCTGCCCCGGAGTGTGGTGGAGGCTCCTTCTTTGGAAGCTTTTAAACAGAGGCTGGATGGCCATCTGTCAGGGGTGCTTTGAATGCAATATTCCTGCTTCTTGGCAAGGGGTTGGACTGGATGGCCCATGAGGTCTCTTCCAACTCTTTGATTCTATGATTCTATGATTCTATGCAGTCATGTTGGCCACATAACCTTGGAGGTGTCTATGGACAACACCAGCTCTTCGGATTAGAAATGGAGATGAGCACCACCACCCAGATTTGGATATGATTGGACAATGTCAAGGGAAAACCTTTACCTTTACCTTATTGTTTATATATTGTATTGTTTGTATATTGTTGAATTGCGGCATTCAATCGTGCCAAATTATGTAAGCCGCTCTGAGTCCCATTCTGGATACTTCATCACACTAGAGAAAGAATTCACTTTAAATACGTCTTCTGCTTCCTACAGAATTCTGGGGTTTGTAGTTTAGTGAGGTTGTTAAAAGGCTCCTCCCTAAACTACAAACCCCAGAATTCTGCACGAGGCAGCAATCAGATTTAAAGTGGATTCATTCTCTAGTGTGATAAGGTATCTAGTGAGAAGTGTGGGATATAAATATAGAAAATAAATAAATAAATACCCCAATTCCATAAAATACCATCCAATCTTCAATGCTAAAGCAGGGTCACCCTTGGATAGTGCTTGGATGGGAGACCGGCAATGACTCCCAGGCTCTGTTTCAGAGGAAGGAACTGTCAAACTCACCTTTGAGTCTTCATAGCCTAAGAAAATCCTACAAAATCCATGGGGTTGTCTTCCATCGACAGGAAACTTGAGATCACATACCCACAAAACTCGAAAGATCCTAAAAACTTTAAAAACAGAGGCGAACCGAGAAATACAAGAGGAAAATTGAAAGTTATTAATCTCTGGTAGGAATAACCTTCAGAGAGGAACACATTCATGGTTAAGCATCATTAACTAAGTCGTCATTTTAAATGATGGGATGGAGGTGTCCTCAGCCATCAGCTTTCAGCCCACGTCCCCCTTATTTCTCCTCTTTATGGGATTCTCAGGATGGGTCGGTGCTGATCCTAAGGAGCCAGGGTTGAGAATGTGAAAAATGAAAAGGGAGAAACTATTATAAAAGAAAAGACTGATGACGAAGGGCATGAAGGAACTGGAGATGGAAAGGTTTATCTTTTTCCAAGTCTGTTCTCTTTCAATTACTGAGCCTAAAGACATTGAGGTTTCTTTAGATGCTTGAAGGTGGAAGGAGGGAGGGAGAGTGCTTTGAATCATCTTCTTTGCTGAATCCTCACTTGCTTTGATTCTTGCCCTTGAAGATAAAGGAGCCTGTAAAGAGATTCTCCTCCAAATGGGAAGGCTTTTGAATGGATCGGACTTGATCCGTCTTAGGAGGCCATTCGGAGCCAAGCTTTTCAGCTATCTCTTGTTTGCCTTTGAATATGTCTTTCTTTTCTTTTGCTTTTTTTTAAAGTTAGCAAACCTTTGTTATTGCATACTGACCGCAGAACTTTCAATGTCTCATGTTGCATCACTGTTTGCTTTCATGCTGCACCATCACAACAACATAGAATTCTAGAATTTTCTACTTTAGGGAGACACATTGAGAACCCTTAGCATAGCTGTTCCCAACTTTCCCAACCTTAAGCTTTAAATTGGCTGTCCTCCTTTCTTCACAACCGTGGAAAGCGAGTGGAGAGGGGAGGCCTGGTCTCTGAGAGGTCCCCTCTACTTTGTGGGGTTCCTCAGGGGGCCATTCTCTCCCCTCTGTTGTTTAACATCTATATGCCTCCACTTGCTCAGGTGGTTTGAGGTTTTGGGCTTGAGTGTTACCAGTACACTGATGACACTCAGCTTATGTTGAAGATGCAAGGCCGACCGGTCTCTGTACCCGATAATTTTCATCAATGCCTTCAGGCCGTTACTGGATGGCTGCGTGCCAGCAGGTTGAGGGTGAATCTGGCAAAGATGGAGATCCTATGGCTGGGTTGCCCGGGCAGTGGGGATATCCAGCTGCCTACCCTGGATGGCGAGGTGCTACACCCGTCATCATTGGTAAAGAGTCTGGGAGTCCTTTTGGACCCTCTGCTGACGATGGAGACCCAGGTCTCCACTGTGAGCAGAACCACCTTTTTTCATCTGCGGCAGGCTGGACGGCTGCCCCCCTACCAGTCCAGGGACGACCTAGCTATGGTACTCCAGGCCACGGTCATCTCAAGACTGGACTACTGTAACGCCCTGTACATTGGCCTTCCTTTGCTGGTGATCCGGAAGCTCAAATTGGTGCAAAATGCAGCTACTCAGCTTCTCGTGAGAGCTCCCGATGAGATGCCACATAACCCCAATCTTACTGCAGCTGCATTGGTTACCGATTGAGCACTGGATCACTTTTAAGGTGATGGTACTTACCTTTAAGGCCTTACATGGTCTGGGGCCGATATACCTGAGGGACCGGCTCACCCCCTACCAACCCCAGAGATCTCTTGCTCCGAGGACCAAGATTTATTGGAAGTTCCCAGTTTTAAAACCTTGCGTCTAATAGCAACTAGACACAGAGCCTTTACAGCAGTGGCACCATCGCTCTAGAACACTCTGCCACCAGAAGTCCGTGCCTTGCGGGATTTATCAGCTTTCCGCAGGGCTTTTAAGACATATTTGTTTTGACGGGCTTTCGATCTTTGATATGTTGTTTTAAATTATGTTAAATTCAAGTTTGTTTCTTGTAAGCCGCTCTGAGCCCTAGGGGAGTGGCGGCATAGAAGTTTGAATAATAAATAAATAAATAATACAATTCCCCATGTTGTGGCCACCCCCAACCATAACATTTTTGTTGCAACTTCATAACTGTAATTTTGCTACTGTTATCAATCGTAATGTAAATATCTGATATGCAGGATGTATTTTCATTCATTGGACCAGATTTGGCACAAATACACGATACACCCAAATTTGAGTACTGTTGGGGTTGGGGGGGGGGGGGAAGATTGATTTTGTCATTTGGGTGTATAGCATTGGCTCTCAACCTTCCTAATGCCGTGACCCCTTGATACAGTTCCTCATGTCGTGGTGACCCCCAACCATAAAATTATTTTTGTTGCTACTTCATAACTGTGCCCCTGCACAAATACCCGATAAGCCCACATTTGAATCCTGCTGGGGCTGGGGGATTGATTTTGTCATTTGGGAGTTGTAGTTCCTGGGGTTTATAGTTCACCTACAATGAAAGAGCATTCTGAACTCCACCAACAATGGAATTGAGCCAAACTTGGCACACAGAACTCCCAAGTTGTAGTTCACCTACATACAGAGATCACTGTGGACTCAAACAATGATGGATCTGGACCAAAGTGCTGGTCTTGACCTATAAAGCCCTATATGGTTCTGGCCCAGCTTACTTGTCCAAACGCATCTCCTATGTCCCACCTCGCAGTTTAAGATCATCCAGGGAGAGCCTGCTCTCGTTCGCACCAGACAGGGCTTTCTCGGCTGTGGCCCCCCACCTGTGGAACTCGCTTCACAATGAGATAAGATCAGCTTCATCCCTCCTGTCTTTTAGAAAGATATTGAAATTGTGGTTCTGGGACTAGGCTTTTGGACAGCGGGCATAATAGAACTTTGGATGCGGAATTTGACTGGAATGGTGATACAGCTAACAATACTGTTTTATTGTTTTTAATTAATGTTCTATTTATGGTTTATATTGTAATATTATTATTGCACTTGTTATATGTATCAAATTGTTGCCAAGTGTAAGCCTTCCTGAGTCCCGCTTCAGAGGTTGAGAATGACGGGGTAGAAATGCTGTAAGTAAATAAATAAACTAGGCATGAATACGCAATATGCCCAAATGTGAACACTGCTGGACGTTGGGAAAAATAGACCTTGACATTTGGGAGTTGTAGCTGCTGGGAGTTGTAGCTGGTGGGGTTCAAAGAGCATTTTGAACCCCACCAATGATAGAATTGGGCCAAACTTCCCACACAGAACCCCCATGACCAACGGAAAATACTGTGACTTCTTTGGTGACCCCTCTGACACCCCCTCATGACCCCCCCAGGGGTCCCGACCCCCAGGTTGAGAAATGCTGCTCTAACTGAAAGTAAGGAAAGATTGGAGGAAAGAAGGAAAGAAGGAGAAAATACAGAAAGGAAGGAAGATCTCAAATTGAAAGGGAAAAAAAGAAAAATTAAAGAAAGGGATAATAAAGGAAAGAATTACAAAACTGCTGTGATCTTTCTCAAACTGTAGAAGAAAAGAGAGAAAGAAAGAAAAAATGAACAAAAGACAGAACCAATGAAAGAAACAAAACATTAAAGAGAGAGGAGGAAAAAAGGGAGGGAAAGAAGGAAAAGAGAAGGCAAAAAGAATGAATGAAATAAAGGAAGGAAGGAAGGCAGGACAAAATTGGACTGTTGGGTTGTTGTAGGTTTTTCCGGGCTATATGGCCATGTTCTAGAGGCATTTTCTCCTGACGTTTCGCCTGCATCTATGGCAAGCATCCTCAGAGGTAGGGAGGTGATGCTTGCCATAGATGCAGGCGAAACGTCAGGAGAAAATGCCTCTAGAACATGGCCATTTAGCCCGGAAAAACCTACAACAACCCAGTGATTCCGGCCATGAAAGCCTTCAACAATAAATTGGACTGTTGTTCCTCAAATGGCAAAAGAAATCAAAGTACAAACGGACTGAAGTTATTTATTAATCCTTTGGAAGTTGATGTTATGGTTAACACACAATACAAAACTACCGATATGTTACAAAAGCAAACTTTTAAAAAGTATCTTGTAGCTCTTGCTAACAATAATGAAGAAAATAACATTTTGCAAAAGTTGCTTCACTTCATGCTACTTTTCTATTCGGTTTTGTTACATTTTTGAAGGAGGAAGAAATATCATAGAATCATAAAGTTGGAAGAGACCTCGTGGGCCATTCAGTCCAACTAGCTGCCAAGAAGCAGGAAAATCGCATTCAAAGCACCCCTGACAGATGGCCATCCAGCCTGTTTAAAAGCCTCCAAAGAAGGAACCTCCACCACACTCCGGGGCAAAGAGTTCCACTGCTGAACAGCTCTCTCAGTGAGGAAGCTCTTCCTAATGTTCAGGTGGAATCTCCTTTCTTGTAGTTTGAAGCCATTGTTCCATTGCGTCTTAGTCTCCAGGGAAGCAGAAAACAAGCTTGCTCTCTCTTCTTTATGACTTTCCCTCACATCTTGATAGTTGGCCCTCATCATGTCTCCTCTCAGCCTTCTCTTCTGAAGACTAAACATGCCCAGCTCTTTAAGCCGCTCCTCATAGGGTTTGTTGTCCAGACCCTTGATCATTTTAGTTACACATTCCAGCTTGTCAATATCTCTCTTCAATTGTGGTGCCCAGAATTGGACACAGTGTAGTCTGACCAAGGCAGAATAGAGGGGAACATGACTTTAATGATTCTAGGCACTAGACTCCTATTTATGCAGCCAGAATCCCATTGGCTTTTTTAGCCGTCGCATGACATTGTTAGCTCATGTTTAACTTGCTGTCCACAAGGACTCCAAGATCTTTTTCTCACGTCGAGCCAGGCATCGTCCCCCATATCTTACGAGAAGGGAGCTGTTTCCACATCCCATTTTGAACTCCAAATTCCCAGTATTTCCAGTTAAGATTTGCAATTCTTCATCAACCGGCAAGATCATGATGCAAAACAGGAGGGAATGACATAGTTGTGCAAAAGGATGGGTAAAAATTAGAGGAGCAAAGCTGCAGTGTTTATACAACAGAGAGAAATATTCACAGTACACAGATTATGCAAAATATGGATTAAGCACAAATTTCATTTTAAAAATGATTAAGCAAGCACCATAAATACAGATTGATCCCACGAAACGATTTCCAAGCTTTGGAGAGGAGTGGAAAAGTAGAAAAATACAGTCAGGAATGAATGGAAAACAATGGTCTTTTGGTGAGTAGAAAAAGCTCAGTCTATCGACTAATAAAAAAGGTGAAATGCATGTCACAGATTTCTATTTCCTACATAGAAAATGTCCTCCCACCTGACTTTTAATTTTTTTTTGCAAAGTCCAAAAGGCGGGATGAAAAAAATCAGTTACCTACGTAGCACCATCGACTCTTTAAGATTTTCCTATTAAAGAAAAATAAAATGCTAGGCATAAAGAAAATTAAGCCTCAACGGAATAGTTGTGCTTACATCACATTTTGAAAAAGGTAATTACTCAACTCAAGCCACACTCTTCTTTTGCATTGGGGTCAATTCAGGCCACAAGGACAGTTCTACCGGAAAGGGGCGGGGCCAGGGGCGGGGTCTGGTCGCACAACACGTTGTGATTGGCTGCGCGGCCTTTCACTCGTCTTGCTTCCTTTTGGGCTTCTTGGGGTTCCGAGAGCGGCTCTTGGCTTTGCAGAGCGGGCAGATGGGCGCGTTCCGGTGGATCTGCTGGTGGCACGACAAGCAAGCCTGGAAAGACCACAAAGCGGATCCATGTGAAGAGAATTTGTATTAAATAGTTAAATAGTATTCAATGTTTAATCTGATTTTAATGTATGCATGTATGTGTGTTTTTTTAAGTTCTAAATTATACGTTGTACTGCATTTAGTGTTCACTGCTTTAATAATTGCAATAACAATCTATATATATAAAAATGCTCTGTGCGTAATGAGTTCCTTAAAAACAAAAGAACCAATGAACGAAATCACACCCAATTTGGCAACAAAACGTCTCACAATACAAGGAGTGATCATCAATTAAAAATTACGATTTTGTCATTTGGGAGTTGTAGTTGCTGGGGTTTTATAGTTCACCTACAATCAAAGAGCATTCTGAACTCGATCAACGATGGAATTGAACCAAACTTGGGACACAGAATTCTCATGACCAACAGAAAATACTGGAAGGGTTTGGTGGGCATTGACCTTGAGTTTGGGAGTTGTAGTTCACCTACATCCAGAGAGTACTGTGGGATCAAACCATGATGGATCTGGACCAAACTTGGCACAAGCACTCAATATGCCCAAATATGAACACAGATGGAGTTTGGGGGAAATAGACCTTGACATTTGGGAGTTGTAGTCACTGGGATTCACACTGGGATTCACTGGGAGTTGTAGTTCACCTACATCCAGAGAGCACTGTGGGATCAAACCATGATGGATCTGGACCAAACTTGGCACAAGCACTCAATACGCCCAAATATGAACACAGATGGAGTTTTGGGGAAATAGACCTTGACATTTGGGAGTTGTAGTCACTGGGATTCACAGTTCACCTACAATCAAAGGGCATTCTGAACCCCACGAACAACAGAATTGGGGCAAACTTCCCACACAGAACCCCCATGACCAAAAGAAAATACTCAAGGCCATCCAATCCAACTCCCTTCATCAGGGCAAGAAAATGTAAACAAAGTCCTCCTGACAAAGAGCCATCCAGCCATAGATAGATAGATATAGATATACAGATAGATAGATAGATATGATTCACACACACACACACAGATATAGTATCAGATTTGAAAGGGACCCTTTAAGAAGAACAATTATAGGTTGCATGTTCCAGGGTGGGCAAACCAGACACTCTCCACATCAACACTGACAAAGAAGCAGCAAGAAATACGGTTTACCCACAAGCATAAATAAGTTACATATGTTAGAAACCAACACTTTCTCATTACTTTATTTTCCAGATCACCAGACAGAGCCGCAGCAACGCGTGGCAGGGGACAGCTAGTAACAATAATAATGAAGCTTTTGTGCCAGCTGCGCCTGTACCTTGGGAAGTCTGACTTGGAAACGGTAGTCCACGCTCTTGTTACATCCCGTATAGACTACTGCAACGCTCTCTACGTGGGGTTGCCTTTGAAGACTGTCTGGAAGCTCCAACTGGTCCAACAGACAGCAGCCAGATTGCTAACTGGAGCAGCTCTCAGGGAGCATACAACTCCCTTGTTGCGCCAGCTCCACTGGCTGCCGGTTTGCTACTGGGCACAATTCAAAGTGCTGGCTTTAGCCTATAAAGCCCTAAACGGTTCTGGCCCAACTTACCTGTCGGAACGAATCTCCCCTTATGAACCTGCGAGGACTTTGAGATCATCTGGGGAGGCCCTGCTCTCGGTCCCACCATCATCACAAGTACGGTTGGTGGGAACAAGAGATAGGGCCTTCTCAGTGGTGGCCCCTCAGCTATGGAACGCCCTTCCTAGGGAGATTAGATTGGCTTCCTCGCTCCGATTATTCCGAAAGAATCTTAAGACATGGCTATTTGAGCGGGCATTTGAAAATATGGAGTTACAGATATAATAATGGAATAACTATGTGGCAGAACTGGACATTGTTTTAATGAATATCGATTGAAGTATGTTTCATTATAATGTTTGATTTTATTGTTGCTGATGTTTTTATATTGTATATTGTAATTGTGTCCTTGGTGGCATTGAATTCTTGCCTTGTAGACCGCCTCGAGTCGCCGGAAGGCTGAGAAGGGCAGTATAGAAATGTACTAAATAAAATAAAATATAATAATAATAATACATAAACTTCTCTGGGACTTCCGAATTCAGACAGACAGAGTTTTGGGGCACAATTCTCCTGTCTCACAATTGTGTTAAAAACAAAGTATGGATCGGCGATGTTGCAATCCCAGGTGACAGCAGGATAGAAGAGAAACAACGCATAAAGCTGACACAATATGAGGATTTAAAGATCGAACTGTAAAGACTCTGGCACAAGCCAGTAAAGGTGGTCTCAGTGGTGATCGGCACACTGGGTGCAGTGCGTCAAGACCTTGGCCTGCACTTAGGAAACACAATCGGCGCTGACAAGATCACCATCTGCCAGCTGCAGGCCGCCTTACTGGGATCTGTACACATTATTTGTCGATACATCACACAGTCCTGGACACTTGGAAAGTGTCCGATGTGCGATCCAATACAACAAGCAGCAGAGTGATCTTGTCTGCTGTGGACTCATCTTATTGTGTTTCTAATAATAGTAATAATAATAATAATATGTTGGCAATCCCTTTAAGGTCAGAAAATTTAGATTTTGACTCTACACCAGATCAGTAGTGTCAAACTGCATTAATTCTGCAATGTAGATGGACCCTGAGCTTCCATCCAGTCATCCCTCCACTTTTCCTATCTTGACGTTCCTACACTTGATTATTCATGGATTTGATTAAGAATATCCCTTTGAGTAACCTCTAGGTCTTCCAATTTGATTCTAATGTCCACTTTCTCCATAGAGAACATGTTCTGTATTTTAATTGTCCTCACAACCTCTGAGGATGCCTGCCATAGATGCAGGTGAAACGTCAGGTGAGAATGCTTCTAGAACATGGTCATATAGCCCCAAAAACCTACAAAAACTCAGTCTATTTTGTTACACTATTGAGTGCTTTGTGTGAGCCACCCCGAGTCCCTTCGGGGAGATGGTGGTGGGATACAAATAAATTATTATTATTATTATTATTATTATTATTATTATTATTATTATCATCATCATCTTTCTAGCAACCTCTAGGGCTGCGTTTACATTGTGGAATGAGTCCAGTTTGATGCTACTTGAAATGCCATGGGTCAACGCTATGGAATCTGAGATTTGTAGTTTGGTGAGGCACCAGCACTCCTTATTAGTGCAAGCTAATGTTCTTATGTGGTGGCACAATGGATTAAACTCCTGAGCTGTTGAACTTGCGGACCAGAAGGTTGGCGGTTCGAATCCGTGGGATGAGGTGAGCTCCCGCTGTTAGCCCCAGCTCCTGCCAACCCATCAATTTGAAAACATGCAAATGTGAGTAGATCAATAGGTACTGCCTCGGCGGGAAGATAAACGGCACTCCATGCAGTCATGCCAGCCACATGACCTAGGAGGTGTCTATGGACAACACCAGCTCTTCAGCTTAGAAATGGAGATGAGCACTACCCTGGAGATGAAGTGGAAGCCTTTATCTTTATTGTGTATCTACCTATCTGTGTTTCCTTGTTTAGAGGCATTGAATGTATATGATGGAATACGCCCTGAGTCCCCTCGGAGAGATAGGGCAGAATACAAATAAAGTGTTGTTGTTGTTGTTGTTATAAAACTACAACTCCCAGCACTCCACAGCATTGAGCCATGGGAGTTCAAACAGTGTCAAACTGGGTTGTTGTAGGTTTTTCCGGGCTATATGGCCATGTTCTGGAGGCAATTTTTCTCCTGACGTTTCGCCTGCATCTATGGCAAGCATCCTCACTACCTCTGAGGATGCTTGCCATAGATGCAGGCGAAACGTCAGGAGAAAAATTGCCTCCAGAACATGGCCATATAGCCCGGAAAAACCTACAACCCAGTGATTCCGGCCATGAAAGCCTTTAACAATACAGTGTCAAACTGTTGTAACTCATGCAATGGAATCCTGGGACTTGGAGTTTTATAACAACAACAACACTTTATTTGTAATATGCTGCGACATCAGAACTCCTTGGCAGATAAGGCAAAAGACCTTGCAAAACTACAGTTCCCAGTATCCCGTAACACTGAGTAAAGATGCCCCTTACCTTCATGGGTGGTGGCTGTTGCCGGAAGGTGGCTGTCTGTCGCGTGTCCTGTTTTCTGGCCACTTGCAATTGCTGGGCAGCTGCTGCCGCTGCCGCCAAAGATTCTGGGATCTGAGGCTCCTGCGGCTCCGTCTGCCACTCGGCTTTCTGCTTTTCAAAGTAACTGGAGCAAAGAGAGAAACCAAGAAGACACGTCCACAATCACCATCATCCTACTTTCTTTGTGTGACAGTAACAACTACGAGTATCAAAAACAGCAAGGAATGCTGGGAGATGGAGTCCCACAAATACCCTGATGTCACTCACATCTGGGAATGTTAGCATTAGTACATCACTTGTTTATACATCACTATAGTTTGCTCTGAGATTCCTCCTCTTTTACTAGCAACATAAGCATTAATTTTTCAATGTAGCGCTCTTGCTGACCAGGTCGGCAGTTGGAATCCGTGGGACAGGGTGAGCTCCCGCTGTTAGCCCCAGCTCCTCTTCCTCCTTATTTTGGAGGACAAGCTTATAAAGACCTGGGAATCCTGCACTGTTTGACAGTAAGAGAAGCAGCAATGCATGGTACCACAATTTTCTGCATTTCCAGTCTGGGTTTTTATGCTATGCCTCATGCACTTACTCTAAGGAGAGCTTCTCTTCCTCCTCGCACAGGTCTGGCAACCGCTGCAAACCCAGCGTCATCCTCAAGGCATCCACATGCTCCTTGAGAGGCTTGTATTCCTCATGCAGGCGCCGGGTCGACTCTAGGAGCTTGTTGAGGTCGTTTTCGGACTGCTTGATCGTGTTTTCCATCTGGAACAGAGGCATCAAATTTCCTGTATTTTCCCCATTGCAATGGAGCAGCCCACATAACACTCGGTTTTGAAACAGCAATTATATAGAATCATGGAGTTGGAAGAGGCCTTGTGGGCCATCTAGTCAAACTGTGGAGAAATAGGACTGCTGAATCAAAGACTCTCAGAGTTGGAAGAGGCCCCATGGACCATCTAGTCCAACCCCCTTCTGCCAGGCAGGAAGACACAATCAAAGCCCTCCTGACAGATGGCCACCCAACCTCATAGACATTATCAGGACTGTGGAGAAATAGGGATACAGAATCTAAGACTCCTAGAGTTAGAGGGGACCCCAAGGGCTATCTAGTCCAACCCCCTTCTGCCAAGCAGGAAGACACAATCAAAGCCCTTTGAACCAATGGCCATCCAGCCTCATAGAAATTATGAGATTCATGGGGAAATAGAGCTAGATAGTTGGAAGGGGTCCCAAGGGCAATCCAGTCCAACCCCCTTCTTCCCTGGCAGGAAGACACAATCAAAGCCATCCTGACAGATGACCATCCAACCTCATAGACATTATGAGGATTGTGGACAAACAGGGCTACAGAATCAAAGACTCCTAGAGTTGGAAGGGTTCCCAAGGGTCATCTAGTCCAACCCCTTTCTGCCAGGCTGGCACCTCACTCACCACATTGATGTCGGCGTGGATGAGGCGCAGTTCCTCCACATGCGCCATCTTCTCCTGCAGAAGGAGGTCCATCTCCTGCTTGTATTCCTTCAGATGCCTCTCCTCCGACTCCAGCGACTCGAACTCCGCCTTCAAGCGGGCTTTGATCTTCTCCATCTGCAGAGTCTTGTTCCTGCAAAAGAAGAGACACACAGAGAGAGACAGGATCAAAGGAAAGAAAGGCGAAGAGCTATTTCAGGCTGGGGAAAAATGGTATTTAACAAAGACAATTACAGGAGACAAGGGAGAAGGGCAAGATGGAGCACAGACCCAAAATGGTTCCTGATAAAAACACTAGTTCACAGATTTGGGATTTTTTCATTGCTCATTCCTTGGTCAACCTCTTTCAATGACCACAGAATTGCATTGGGGGATCTGGAGACACCAGATATTCTCCAGCATCACTAGATATATAATATATTGTATAAACATATATTTATAATATATACAATATTGCAATATACAATACAATATAATAGTAATATTATAATAATTATATATTTTATATTACATGTAATATTACTAATAATATTACAATATAATGTTATAGTATAATATAGTAATATATAATACTGATATTGTACTATGCTAATAATATAATGTATTGTATGTATATATATCTTGTAAAACACTCAGAGTCCCCTTTGGGGTGAGAAGGGCGGCATATAAATGTCATAAATAATAATAATAATAATAATAATAATGTATTGTCGAAGGCTTTCATGGCCGGAATCACTGGGTTGTTGTAGGTTTTTTTGGGCTATATGGTCATGTTCTAGAGGCATTTTCTCCTGACGTTTCGCCTGCATCTATGGCAAGCATCCTCAGAGGTAGTGAGGTCCACCTCACTACCTCTGAGGATGCTTGCCATAGATGCAGGCAAAACATCAGGAGAAAATGCCTCTAGAGCATGGCCATATAGCCTGGAAAAACCTACAACCCAATAATAATAATAATAATAATAATAATAATAATAATAATAATAATAATAATAGAGGGAGCTGACCATGTGACCTAGAGATTCTGCCTAATGACCTTTAGATCACATTTAATGATCTAGAGATCCCTAGAGATTTGTTTAAACAAATCCATGAATAAACAAACTGCAAAAGTGGAGGGACGACATTACTATTCAAGGCTCATTGATGTCCATGACTAAAAACTTGAAGGAATAGGAAAAGTTGGTGCTTTTCCTCGCAAAATGTGAGCAAACACTCCTGGGGTTCATCTACACTATAGGATTAATGCAGTTTGGCACCACTTGAACTGCCATGTCTTAATAATAATAATAATTTGATACATAACAAGATTAGTACACAGCAAACAAGATCACTATCCTGGCTTTTGTATTCGATCACACAACGGACATTTCCCAAGTGTCTAAGACTGTGTGATGTATCGGCGAATAATGCGTGCAGATCCGAGTAGGGTAGCCTTTTGTGGTTGAAATTAGATCCGAGTAGGGTAGCCTTTTGTGGCAAAATTAGACTTTGGTAATTTTGTCAGCACCGATTGTTTTTAAGTGCAGGCCAAGGTCTTGAGGCACTGCACCTAGTGTGCCGATCACCACTGGGACCACCTTTACTTGCTTGTGCCAGAGTCTTTGCAGTTCAATCTTTAAATTCTCGTATTGTGTAAGCTTTTCCAGTTGATTCTCGTCAATCCTACTGTCACCTGGGATTGCAGCATCAATGATCCATACTTGTTTTTTCCCCACAATCATGAGATCAGTAATATTGTGCTCCCAAACCCTGTCAGTCTGAATTCGGAAGTCCCAGAGTAGTGTGACATGTTCATTTTCCTTAACTTTTCTGGCTTGTGATCCCACTAGTTTGTTGTCACAGGCAGATGGTATTTGTGGCACAAGTTCCAATGGATTATCTGACCAACAATATTATGCCTCTGCTTATAATCCATCTGTGTGATCTTCTTGCAGCAGCTGAGAATGTGATCCATTGTTATATTATTATTATTATGGTATATTATTTAAAATATTTATTTATATTTATTTATATTTGTTAAAAGCCTCTCCTTGTAGCTCGAGGTGGAGTACAACATGGTTAAAACAAACTAATACAACACCATTAATATGCATATTTCAAAATGTGCACAATAAAGATTGACACTAAATGCCCTTCCTTGCCAATGGCAGCAAACTATAACTCCATAGCAGTGAGCCATAGCATTGGCAGTTAAAGTGGTGTCGAATGGCATTAATTCTTCAGAGTAGATGGACCCTTGGTGAAATGCCCAGAGTTTGAAAGATTTATAAAGATTCATTTGGTCATCATAACATAGTCCTTAACTGAAACTAACCAAGTGGATTCGGGCACTAGCGTCCAACCTTTATTCAGCACATCCCATTTTGTTCGCTGCTTTGGTTGCCTCTCTCTTTGGGGTCCCTCATTATTTCCACGATTTAACAGCAGCGGGAAGCCTTGACATGCTTCTGAGCTGCTGGCTCTCTCCAATACACACACACAACCCTATTCTCATTATGGACTCACTGGAAGACGACTGTGAAGGCTCTCTAGTTGCTTCCTTTGTCAAGCCAAGAGGGCAGGAAAGAAAAATTCATTTTGCACTTACCAGCCAGCAATGTTTTCATCTCCCTCATACTTTTCCCAAGAATTTTGAACAGGAAAAGGTGAAAAATAGCAAGGCTTTAATGCAGGGGTTCTCAAACGTTTTAAACAGAGGGCCAGGTCACAGTCCCTCAAACTGTTGGATGGCCAGATTATAATTTGAAAAAAAGTGAATGAATTCCTATGCACACTGCACATATCTTATTTGTAGTGTAAAAAAACACTTTAAAACAATACAATAATTAAAATGGAGAACAATTTTAACAAATATAAACTTATTAGTATTTCAATGGGAAGTGTGGGCCTGATTTTGGCTGATGAGATAGGATTGTTGTTGTTGTGTGCTTTCAAGTTGTTTCAGACTTAGGTTGACCCTGAGCGAGGGCCGGGTAAATGACCTTGGAGGGCCGTATCTGGCCTTAGTTTGGAGAGCCCTGCTTTAATGTATAACAGAGGTGGGTACCTTTCCATCATCCTGCCTCAGGGGAGCGTGCTCGCTCCATCCATGTTCAACATCTACACAAATGACCAGCCACTGCCAGAAGGGACAGAGAGTTTCATCTATGCTGATGATCGTGCCATTACCGCTCAAGCAGGGAGCTTTGAGATGGTTGAACAGAAGCTCTCCGAAGCTCTAGGTGCTCTTACTGCCTATTACAGGGAAAACCAGCTGATCCCTAACCCATCTAAAACACAGACATGTGCCTTTCACCTTAAGAACAGACAAGCATCCCGAGCTCTGAGGATTACCTGGGAAGGAATCCCACTGGAGCACTGCAGCACACCCAAATACCTGGGAGTCACTCTGGACCGTGCTCTGACCTACAAGAAGCACTGCCTGAACATCAAGCAAAAAGTGGGTGCTAGAAACAATATCATACGAAAGCTGACTGGCACAACCTGGGGATCACAACCAGACACAGTGAAGACATCTGCCCTTGCGCTATGCTACTCTGCTGCTGAGTAAGCATGCCCAGTGTGGAACACATCTCACCACACTAAAACAGTAGATGTGGCTATTAATGAGACATGCCACATTATCACAGGGTATCTGCGCCCTACACCACTGGAGAAATTACACTGCTTAGCCGGTATTGCACCACCTGACATCCGCCGGGAAGTAGCAGCCAATAGTGAAAGGACCAAGGCAGTGACATCTCCAGCTCATCCCCTTGTTTGGGTATCAGCCAGCACGTCAACGACTTAAATCAAGAAATAGTTTTCTAAGATCTACAGAGACACTCGCTGGAACACCTCAGCAAGTGAGAGTCCAAAAGTGGCAGGCTCAAACCCAGAACCTCAACCAATGGCTGATACCAAATGAGAGACTCCCCCCTGGGCACACAGAAGACTGGGCGACTTGGAAGGCGCTGAACAGACTGCGCTCTGGCACCACGAGATGCAGAGCCAATCTTAAGAAATGGGGCTACAGGGTGGAATCCACGGCATGCGAGTGTGGAGAAGAGCAAACCACTGACCACCTGCTGCAATGCACCCTGAGCCCTGCCACATGCACCATGGAGGACGTTTTTGCGGCAACACCAGAGGCACTCCAAGTGGCCAGCTACTGGTCAAAAGACATTTAATCAACTACCAAGTTTGCAAAATCTGTGTTTTTTTTAATCTGTTTGTTTGTTTTGTTCTGTTAGAAATGTAATACAATGGTATGGTTACTGATGACACGATAAATAAATCAAAATATGGATGCTTTCCAGGTTGAATCTCCCTTATCCAAAATGCTTGGGACCAGAAGGACTTCGAATTTTGGAATATCTGTATTTGCACCTATGATTGAGTCATGGCACGTGAAGCTGTGTAAAACTGCATTTACTTCTATAGTATAGATGATGTTGAGCCCTCCCCTAACAACAATATAATATTATACAATACTAATATTATGAATGATGTATTAGTGCTAAGCTAATAATGTAGTATGTTGTATGTACATATGACTTGTAAGCCGCTCTGAGTCCCCTTCGGGGTGAGAAGGGCGGCATATAAATGTCGCAAATAAATAAATAATAAATAAATTGTTGCACCCCAGCCCTGGAAACACCTATGACCACAGCACCACACAAGAGTCCAGAATATAATAAGCAAACCGTTTATTGTAAAAACAAATAAAAATATATGAAAAAAAGGAGGAATAAAGAAAAAAGATGTATAGTTCAAAAAAGATTTAGCAATAGGTGATAACCAAACAGTAATCCAAATGTCTCATACAGATCCAAAGGTAACACAGTCCAGGAATAGCCAAAAATCACAAGTATAGCATAAGTCCCCAAGCAAAACTTAAGCAGGAATACAAAAACACGAACATAGAAAACGTCCAGGATACTTATATCCAGAACCAAGGCTTGACTTTAAACAAGAACCACAGAACTGAGGCCTAGCTTCTAACTCAAACACTATGTTGCCTGAACTAACTTTAAACAACTTGCTAATTAATAGGCACCCACGAAATCATTCCGTTTCCCATGCGTTTTCTCTATCCCTTTCCCACATAATCTCTCTTGACCTATGGAGCCTGTTTTCTGCTCTGGTCTGTAAACGAAGACTTTTGTTGATATCTGTAGCTCCAGATGCTTTCCCTTGGGAACCTTCTGTTTTACTTAACTCTTTGCCTGACTCCTTATCTAATGCTGCAGTTTCTGGCTCTTCTGGCTGACCTTGAAGCCCTGCACTTTTCGAGCCAATTTCCTGAATTCCATAACATTAAGCCATGCAGATTAAAGTGGTGTCAAATTTCATTTAATTCTAGAGTTCAGCTGCAAACCCAGCCAAAGGATCCCATCTAGCAGAAACAATGGGAAAACCTCATGTCTGATAATGTGGGAAGCGGCTGAAAATTCAGAATATTTCCCATTTGCGTAAGTGGGTCACAGGCTTCATTTCACAAAGAGGGCTGATTCATCTCTGGTACCCTTTGGGCATTGGAAGCCTTTAATAGGAAGAAGACAACGTGGAAAAAGAAACTTCAAGCCGTTAATGTCTTCCTTTCGACACATCCATCTACCTCTTGCTCCTTTTAGAAATTGCACCTCCAAATCCACACCAGAGGTATTTCTTTGTGGAGAAAACTATACCTTTCTGCGTAAAGCCCTTCTGGAAAAAGGGGAGCAATATACATTCATATCTATATCTAGATAAGAAGCACCAGCCAAGAGCAAAAACTTAGAACTGTGCTGTTTATATGTACGTAAACAGCATTAGACTAATCCACATTATTCTGTAGTGTAGATGCACCCCATGCCCACCTTTAAATACTATGATTTCTATGCATTTGAGCCTCCATGGCACCATCAATCAGTGGGGTCTGAGTATTGGGCCAAAGTGGTGCTAAACCACATTAATTCTACAGTGTAGATGCCCACCTTTAAATACCAAGACTCCAATGCTTTTGAGTCTCCATAGCATCAACAATCAGTGGGGTCTGAGCATTGGAGCAAAGTGGTGCTAAACCACATTGATTCTACAGTGTAGATGCATTTGAGCCTCCTTGGCATCATCAATCAATGGGGACTGAGTGTTGGACCAAAGTGGTGCTAAACTGCATTAATTTTACAGTGTAAATGCACCCCATGCCCACCTTTAAATACTAAGATTCTTATGAGTTTGAGCTTTCACGGCATCATCCATCAGTGGGGACTGAGCGTTGGACCAAAGTGGTACCAAACCGCATTAGTTCTACAGTGTAGATGCACCCCATGCCCAGATTTAAATACTACGATCCCTATGCATTTGAGCCTCTATGGCACCATCCATCAATGGGGACTGAGTGTTGGACCAAAGTGGTGCTGAACTGCATTAATTCCACAGTGTAGATGCACCCCGTGCCCACTTTTAAATACCAAGACTCCTATGCATTTGAGCCTACATGGCATCATCAATCAGTGGAGTCTGAGCGTTGGACTAAAGTGGTACCAAACCACATTAATTCTACAGTGTAGATACACTCCATGCCTACGTTTAAATACCAATATTCATATGCCCACTTTTAAATACCAAGATTCCTATGCATTTAAGCCTCTGTGGCATCATCAATCAGTGGAGTCTGAGCGTTGGACTAAAGTGGTACTAAACCGCATTAATTCTACAGTGTAGATACACTCCATGCCTACTTTTAAATACCAAGATTCCTATGCCCACCTTTAAATAACAAGATTCCTATGCATTTAAGCCTCCGTGGCATCATCAATCAGTGGTACTAAACCACATTAATTCTACTGTGTAGATACACTCCATGCCTACCTTTAAATACTAAGATTCCTATGCATTTGAGCTTTCATGGCACCATCAATCAGTGGAGACTGAGCACTGGACCAAAGTGGTACCAAACCGAATTAATTCTACAGTGTAGTTGCACCCTATGCCCACCTTTAAATACTAAGATTCTTATGCATTTGAGCCTCAATGGCATCAACAATCAGTGGGGACTGAGCGTTGGACCAAAGTGGTACCAAACCGCATTAATTGTACAGTGTAGATACATCCCATGCTCACCTTTAAATACCAAGATTCCTATGCATTTGAGCCTCCATGGCACCATCAATCAGTGGGGACTGAGCATGGGAACAAAGTGGTACCAAACCGCATTAATTCTACAGGCACCAAAACAGCTCTACTTTCCCAAAAGGTTAGTAGACTGATCCACCCCTTGTTGTGTGCCAGCTCTCTGCCCATCCTCCCCCAGCATTATTATTAATTCCTTGGGATTATTATTATTATTACTTTCCTAGCACTGTTAATCAATTCCTGGCATGATGACTCTTCCAGATCTGGGAAGGAACTGGGAGAAATCCCTTGCAGAAACCCAGACTGGGTGCTGCAGCCCCTGCAGAGAAATGCACAAAGGCAGGAGGCAAAAGGAGAGCCCTCCCCAAAGCCGGCCCTTCCTTACCGGATCTCCTTGATGCTTTCCAGCTTGCACATGATCTCCTGCTCCTCGGCCATGCTTCCTTGCAATGGGAGAGAACAATAATAATCAACTGGAGAGGGAGAGAAGCCCAATACAATAGGCACAGGGGAGCCCCCTTTTCTATGAGAGCAAAGACTGCAGCAGGAGGAGAAGGAGAAGCAAAGCCTCTCGGGAGTTGGAGTTCGGGACTGATGAGTCCTCCAGGCTGTGGAGGGAGAGCAGGACTACAAGCCCCACAATGCAAAGCGCGGAGCTTCCCTTCTCGCTTTTTCCGGCCCCCCATCTACTTGCATTGGTCAACAATTGAATGGAAGACTGCAAGGAAATAGGGGTGTCCCATGTTTTGGGGTGGTTCAACGCTTTGAAAAGGGAACATCATAACAAGCTGCTATTGTTATGATACTCATGCTTTATGTTTTGTTGCCCTGTATTTGCATTTATTACACTGCTTAGGATACTTAAAGAAAACCTTACTGATTAAAGCAAGCATTAAGATTTGTTATTTACCTTCTACTTTTGCAGCATTTCAGGAAAAGGGACCAAAAGTCTCCTGTTGATTTTGTGGCCACTCCATGAATTTTGTAGCATTTTCTTAGGGTGCAGCTACATTGGAGAATTAATACACATCAGGCACATCAAATCACTCTCAACAAAAGATTCCCCCCAGGCACTTCCAATCCATTAAATGCTAATTAAGGTGGTCAGTTGAAACATTCACACCTAGCTCCAGCAGACAAAAGTCCTTTGTCCCACCCTGGTCTTTCCACAGATATATAAACCCATTTTCCTACTTCCAACAGACCTCACTACCTCTGAGGATGCTTGCCATAGATGCAGGTGAAATGTCAGGAGAAAATGCCTCTAGAACATGGCCATATAGCCCGGAAAACCTACAACAACCCAGTGATTCCGGCCATGAAAGCCTTCGACAATAGTTAAAGAAATCATTACGGATTAAAGCAAGCATTAAGATTTGCTATTTACCTTCTAGTTTGCAGCATTTCAGGAAAAGGGACCAAAAGTCTCCTGTTGATTTTGTGGCCACTCCATGAATTTTGTAGCATTATCTTAGGGTGCATCTACATTGGAGAATTAATACAGTTTGAAAATACTTTTTTTTTAATTTAATCTTTATTACAGGTTTTCATAGTTATACCGTTCAGCCCAGCTTACACATCAACCTTACATACTTGTGCACTTAAACATTACATGTAACACGTGTGAATAAAATATGACTTAGATGGTTGAAGGGAGAAAAGGGAATGGAAGGGGGAATGGGTGAGCAGGGAATTGGGTATGGGGGGTGGGGACAGGTTAGACACCACTAAGGAAAAGAAAAGAAAAGAAAAAAAAACTTGGACTGGCATTGCTCAGTGCTATGGAAGCCTGGGGAGATGTAGTTTGCAAGAGCTTCACATTGTTTCTTAATCAATTGATTCTTAAAGCTATAAGCACACTCATCCTAGAGTTTAAAAAAAGAATAGTTGGGTTAGAATAGTAATTATTATTATTATTATTATTGACACAAAAGCACAGTATGTCACAGTAAACAAGATCTCTATGCTGGATTTCGTATCACAAAATCACAAGTCGAACACTTCCCAAGCGTCTAGGACTGTGTGATGTATTTTCGATTGATGCGCACAGATCCAAGTTATGCAGTTGACAGATCGTGATTTTGTCAATGTTTATTGTTTCCAAATGCCAGCTGAGATCTTTTGGCACAGCACCTATGTTGGTACAGCTGTACCAGAAGCTCCAATTTTGTTTGCTTTGCATTTAATGTTTGTTATAGTCCTAAGTTTCAGGAACTCTGCAGATAGGTGGCTTCTTTTGGCTGCAATCATAGGACAAGCCACCTGTCAATTATAGTTAGGTTCCCTGGTCCCGCCCCCTTTTTGGGTTTTTGGAAGGAATAGGAGCCTTTTTGAGTCAGTCCACACAGAGAAGCCTTTCGCACAGGACATAATACCAAGAGCTCCTGTAGAAAGCTTTGTCTTCTACAGCTTGGCCGGGGAGAAAAGGCCCCACAGCTTGGCTGAGGATTTTACAGCCTTACAGCTCCTTTGCTGAAGGACTTCAGCCAACCATCACTGAAACTTGAACTCCTTCTTTTCCCCTGGAAGTCTACAAAGCTCTGCTTTGTAAGAGTCGCTCGCGGAAGCCAGATGCAGTTGGTACCGGGTGCAGGGGCTCCACACCAATAGAGGCAAGTACAGACTGCCCGGATTAGAAGTTAAGGATTTCCCCATTAGTTAATTACAGTTAAGAAGATAGTGCCTGTTCCCAGTGAACAAGATTGCAAGAGACAATAGACTGTTAAGAAAGCTTGAAAGTACCTGTTTGTTTTCATTAATAAAGAACATTGTTGAACCTTTAAGCAATGTAAAGACTCTGTTTGGGGGAATCCAAGGGCCTTTAATCTGAGGCAGCCCCAGCATTCTGTTGGGCACACAGAATTTATGTCCTGTCTACAGTCTTATGCACAGGCCCAGCGTGCGACAGCACAGCACCCAGTGTGCCAATAACCACTGGGACCACCTGTACTGGTTTATAGCAGAGCCTTTGCAGTTCGATTTTGAGGTCTTGATAGCGGCTGAGTTTTTCCTGTTGTTTTTCCTCAATGCGGCTGTCACCCGGTATGGAGACATCAATAATCCAGACTTTTTTTCTTTTCCACCATCGCACATCTGGTGTATTGTGTTCCAAAACTTTGTCAGTCTGGATTCGAAAGTCCCACAGTATTTTTGCATGTTCATTTTCCATTACCTTTGTGGGTTTATGATCCCACCAATTCTTTGCTGCTGGCAGGTGGTACTTGTGACATAAGTTCCAGTGAATTACTTGGGACACAGAGTTGTGCTTCTTTGTGGTCCGTCTGTGTGATTTTCTTGCAACAGCTGAGGATATGATCCATGGTTTTATCAGCTTCCTTGCACAGTCTGCATTTTGGGTCATCCGCTGATTTTTCGATCCTGGCCTTAATGGCATTGGTTCTGATGGCTTGCTCTTGGGCTGCAAGAATCAGGCCTTCTTCTGTCTCCTTCTTCAGGATTCCATTCATGAGCCATCACCAGGTCTTCTCCTTGTCAACTTTTCCTTCAATCTTCTCAAGGAATTGCCCATGTAAGGCTTTGTTGCGCCAGTTGTCAGCTCTGGTTTGGAGTGCAGTTTTCTTGTACTGACTCTTTGTCTGCTGTGCTTTGGTTATTATTATTATTATTATTTGAAACACAACAAGATGAGTCCACAGCAGACACATGTCTTGGATCACATGTCGGACACTTCCCAAGATGATGATGATGATGATTATTTGAAACACAACAAGATGAGTCCACAGCAGACACTCTGCTGGCTGTTGTATTGGATCACACGTGTCCCCAAGTGTCTAGGACTGTGTGATGTATTGGCAAATAATGTGTGCAGATCCCAGTAGGGTGGCCTTTTGCAGCTGGCAGCTGGTAATCTTGTCAGCACTAATTGTGTTTAAGTGCAGGCCATGGTCTTTAGGCACTGTGCCCAGTGTGCCGATCACCACTGGGACCACCTTGACTGGCTTGTGCCAGAATCTTTGCTGTTTATTGTCGAAGGCTTTCATGGCCGGAATCACTGGGTTCTTTTCGGGCTAGAGGCATTCTCTCCTGACGTTTCGCCTGCATCTATGGCAAGCATCCTCAGAGGTAGTGAGGTCTGTTGGAACTAGGAAAATGGGTTTATATATCTGTGGGAAGACCAGGGTGGGACAAAGGACTCTTGTCTGCTGGAGCTAGGTGTAAATGTTTTAACTGACCACCTTGATTAGCATTTGATAGCCTGGCAGTGCCTGGAGCAATCTTTTGTTGAGAGGTGATTGTTTTCCCTCTGCTGTTTTTAGGCAGCATCTTCAGAGGTAGTGAGGTCTGTTGGAAGTAGGAAAATGGGTTTATGTATCTGTGGAAAGACCAGGGTGGGACAAAGGACTCTTGTCTGCTGGAGCTAGGTTCTGAATGTTTCAACTGACCACCTTGATTAGCCTTTGATAGCCTGGCAGTGCCTGGAGCAATCTTTTGTTGAGAGGTGATTGTTTTCCCTCTGCTGTTTTGCTGTTTTAATCTTTGCAGAGTCTTTTGCATTATTATTATTATTATTATTATTATCATTATTATGGAACCAACGGGCTGACTTTCAGGAGGGTCAAACACTCTCTCAGCCTCAAACCAGGCAAAGACAAATCTTGCCAGGAAACCCCTATGAAGACACAGATAGAAAGGAGATAGAAAGGGGGGGGGGAGAGCTGTCTTCCCTTCTGCGCATGCGCGATGCTGTCCTGTAGCCTGCCAGGAGGAGGAGGGGGAGGAGGGCTGGGCGCGGTTGCTAGGCGACGGCGCCCGAGCGGCCTGGTCCAGAATCCGCCTCAGACGGAGCCTGCGAGAGGAAGGCCGAGGCGGAGGAGGGAGAGGGAGAGGCGGCCTGTGGGGCTCCCGTCCCGAGCCCTCCGCCCCCAGAGCCGGCCCCCATGCCTCTCCGTCGAGGAGGAGAGCCGGTAAGGAACTGGACAAGGCCTCAGGGGACGCCTTAGGCCTCGGGGTTGAAGGGGAAGGGGAAGGAGAAGGGGAAGAGGTCCTGGCCCTATTGGAGCGGCCCAGCCAAGCCTCCCAGCGCAAGGGCAGTCTACCTGTGCTACAGCTAGAACAAGAATAGTGATATTATCAATAAGAAACACATCACTGCGTGTTTATATACCAAGGGAGACATGCAGTCAGTGCTTTCTGTGTAATATGTAAGACAGCAGGGAGTTGGATGCAATAGCTGCAATAACATTAGTAGTAGTAGTAATAATAATGATTATAATAATAGTAGTGATACTAAGAGTGATCACAATAATAGTAAAAATAATAGTACTAGTAATAATCACAATGAGCACCACTATAGTTGGTAAATGCATATTTGATCCTTTTGTTTTGCAAAATAATAATAATATTGTAATGTAATAATGATAATTATATTAGTACTCATAGTGGTAATAATAATAGTAGGTTCTTGTGGGTTTTTTCGGACTATATGGCCATGTTCTAGAGCATGGCCATATAGCCCGAAAAAACCCACAAGAACCTAGTGATTCCAGCTATGAAAGCCTTCGACAATACAATAATAATAGTGACAATAATAGTACTAGTAATAATCACAATGAGCACCACTATAGTTGGTAAATGCATATTTCATCCTTTTGTTTTG